CTACCCCCCCCCCACATAGACGACAGTTTTCGCTCCCTAAAATCCCTCCAATGGCATCCAAACCCCTAACATGTCCGAACAATGCCTAAGGAGTTTTCTTAACTGCCGGCTTTTTTTACCCAGTTCCATTTACTCGTAACGTCACGTTTTTGAAATGTTCTGTTGAACCAATGCATTGCATAGCTCTTCTCCACCAATAGGGAGTTCAAAGGTATTTACCTATATTTACCTTAATAAAACCTGACTTGACCGCATTTTCTGATTAATAGCTCCAATCTGCATGACTTCTATTACGTAATCTTAGAGTAAGTAATGTCAGCAAGGAATAAATATATTTAATCAGTTCACAGATCCTTTTTACCGTTGGTAGTATATGCAGAACCGACAATGAATGATCTGTTAGTGAAAGTTATGAAGGCTCTTCTCCAGTGCTGGGGAATTTTTCAAAGTAATTCAAATTTAAGGTAAAATGGCTTATTCTGTTTGGCTTCAGATATTGGCAGATAACAATGCAGAAAATTAGAGTCCGACAAATAGGAGTATTTACGGTTAGCTTTTTCGGAAACGTAACCAGCAATATGTATAGAAAAAATGGAAGAAACCTGAAGCAATGCAAACGAAAATATTTCATATTTATTACCGGATGAATGAACGGGAGTTGATTCGCACCTTCTCAAGCCATTCAAGTTTGTTAATACGTCGAAGCAGAAATCCCAGATGGAACCGATTCATCCTAAAAAAAAGCCAACCATCAAAACAACTTCATTTAGTAAAAAAGGCTCGGCTAAGACGCATTGGTTAGTCCTATTATAAAACTTACTGGACTTTTGTTTCGAGCAGTTTTTCTCTCTCCCTCGCTCTACCGGACAACTCAATGTTGCGGGTCCGCAGGCGCTGCACCTGAAACACATAACTTTGGTATATACATCATCTACTAGCTACAAATAAGTAGGCATGATTAATAATATTAAATTTTTACATTCTTACCTCCTTGGCTAGATTCTTGCACTGGAGGTGAGCCGCTGTAAAAAACGGTGAAATGGCAGAAAGCATTTGGGAACTGATTTTAAAATAATTTTTAATTCAAACAACATTCGCAAAAAAATTAAAGCGTCTGATTCCGGTCAGGTCGTCAGCACTACAGTCGAAACCAAATGAGCTGCTGAAACAAACCCTCGTATCAATCGACGTTTTATCAGAAAAGTCATTAACTGCAAAGTAAAATTACCCTCATTGTGGACCAGTAGTTGAGAGTTGTCCTGCCGACAAGAGTGTTGACTAACTAATTTTCGACTCCTGGCAAAGTCATAAATTTGAAAAAATAAATCAAGGAAACCTTTCTTCGAGTCGCCTGAGCTTCCACATAGCTCGCTTGTGTCGTTCCTCCTGGAATCGCAACCTTTCCCGCAGCTCTCCTGAAGTGGCCTGCTCTCGTCGCAATTCCGCGGTCTGGATGGAAGCAGATGACAACATGAGAAGTAATGAGGAAAGAACTCACTCTTGCTCGCAGAGCCCTTGAGAGATTCCGCATTCGCCAAGATTCTGTGGATGCAGGTTTGTGGTTTGGTTTCTCGGGTGTAGCATTATAAGTAGCGTCTTCAACGTTCTGTACACTTTAACAGGTAGAAGTGAAGGGCTAATAGTATTATAAAAAGTGCAGTTACCTTTCACATAAGATAATAACAATGGTGAAGATTATGGTGGTTCTGTTCAAAATTCAGATGATGGTTCTCATCAACAAAGAAAATAAGTATATTCATAGGGGACAAAATTGACTCAGCGACTATACACAACACCATTGATGC